ACTACAACCAAACAACAGCAAGAACAAATGAGGTAAGGAACACTCAGGTATTGCTAGTAAAGCCAGAAGATGGGATAGCACTTGAGGAACAACCTGCAAGTTTCTTAAAAGTTAAAGGCAACACTGTAAGAATGACCCAGAGAATAGAATCTTAGGTTTCCATCCATAGGAAATGACAACAAATAGCAAGCAAATATCCACAGTAGCTTTATTCATTACAACTTAGAATGGGAGCAATACAAATATCTACCAACTGGTGAATGAATGAATGAATGAATGCACTATATATCCATACAACATAGTAGCCTTCACCAACTAAAACTTTCAAATGACAGGCATACACTACCACCAACAGAGCAATGCTAAAAACATTTAACAGGAGCTGGAGAGATTGTTCATTAGTTAAAAGAACTTGCTGTTGTGAGGACTTGGGTTCAATTCCCAACACCCACGCAGTGGCTCACAACTGTATGTAACTCCAGTTCCTGGGGATCTGACATCCTCTTCTGGCCTTTGTGGGCACTGCATATATGTGACACAGATATACATGCATGCAAAATACTCATACACATAAAATTTTAAAAAGGAAAAGGAAGAAAAAGTTTAACAGGACTAGGTGTGGCTTAGTAGTGGAGCTCTTGCTTAGAATGAATTAGACTCTGGGTTCTATCCCCACACTACAGAAAGAATTACACTAAGCAAAAGAAGCCAGGCATATAACATACGCAAACCCACCTACACAGATTATCCACAAAAGGCAAATTTATAAAGAAGGAGTAATTGTTACTCAGAGTTGAAGATAAGCAATAGGGAGTGACCTAGGCAAGAGATAGCATTCAGATCTCATAAATGTTCTATAAGTAGATTAGGTGACAGTTACCCGATTCTGTACCATTATTAAAAAATTCTGAAATAGTAAATTGGCATTTAAAATACATCTCATTATGGTTTTCTTTAAAAGAAAACAAACAAACAAACAAAAATTGACAACACCCTATCTTTGAAGACCACTCCTGACTAGAGATCTGCAATGTGGCCTCCAGACTAACATGCTCACAGCCTTGCCTGGCATCCAAGCTCCGGCTGATCCTGCCACACAGCAAGCCTTGCCAAGCATCCTTACCCCTCATGGAGGCCAACCATTTTAATGTTGCTTCAGAGTCAGAGCTTGAGCCAAGTCTTGCACTAATTCACTATATGACCTTTGGGTTAATTCCTGTTGTTGAACCTGCTTCCTCCTTTGTGAGATTCAAATGACTATGACCTCTAAGACAGACGAGGACAGTGACATTGTACAAGGTCAGCATGTGCAGAAATATCCTTAGTACACTTGGCACAGCATTTAGCACAGTATACATAAGTATTCACCCCAGGGATGGCTCAAGTCATACCTAATCTACATCATCTCCTCAGTGAGGCATTTCCTCACCAACCCACCTCAAACAAGTCCTACTACTCTCTGCATGCTTTTAATTCCTTAGAACTTGCAGCTTTTAAAGTTTTTCCCTTTATGTTTTCTTTCCAGTCTCCAAGATGGCAGAGGTCCTGGCTTTGTTCCTCATTTCTGTAAGACCAGACCAGTGCCGGGCAAATAAAATGTTGGCATTTGTTGATTAGCTCAGGTAGTGCTCTGGCAAGTAGCCTCCCTGGCATCTGAATGTTTTGGGATTGTCTCCTGTGTGTCTGACTAATCTTTCATCGTATTTCCCTTCCCCAGTGGTCCAGAACCTGCCTCATAGGTGTAATGAGTAATGATAAAGTTTATCTAGCCAGAAGGCTGGAATGAGCTTAGGCACCTGGCTAATTAAGTAGGTTCCCGAAGTGTGTGGTGCAGTAGGGGGTGAATAGCTGAAAAGGAGAAGTGGTTTGGGAACTATGAGTAGTCTGGATTTCAACAATCAACCAAGTTCAGCTAAATTACTAGGATGGCAGCTTATACAGGGTGGAAAAGAAAAAAATAGACATTTATAAGATATTGTTGCATTCTCTTATAAGACCACGAAGTTCAATATACTGACTGAAACAATCTTCATGTATTTCATGCATGTTTGCTCTGAAATCAGTAGTTGAATATAATTGCAGCATTTTGCATTAATTAAATTTCTCTTACCTTCCACAGAATTAGGGCTTGAACTCAATATGTAAATTTATGCAAACTAATATGTAAATTGCAAGGCCCTAACACTTGATTTTAAGGAAGCAAGAGCACTGGGATCAGGCCCCAAGAATTAAATACAAGTGGTCTCTAAGAATTTTTTTTCTGAAACTAGGGCAGACATTCTCTTTTGGAGTCTACCTCTTATTGCCTTCTCATGTGTTCACTAGAGCAACTGCTTTATTGATCTAATTGTTAAAATATGTATTACTTATTTTTACCTATCTGCCTGAAGACAGTGAACTCCTCAACCCTGATGTAACTACTAATAACAAGAGGCCCTCCACCAAATACTTCTTTATCTTAATGTTTTTTCTTCCTCTTTAAATCCAGGCACACGGGACATGGCTTTCCCAACAAGGGGCCAAGCACCTCACTGAGAACCCCCTAGAAAAGCCATTTAGTCCTTCAGATTAACTAGAAAAGGAATCTAACAATTACTGAAGTTCTCCCCAGTTTCATTGCCTGCAAAAGTAGAGTACTAACATTCCTGACAGGCCAGGCAGAAGCAAAGTCAAAATTTCAGATTGCCAAACATGTATCATCAAGCTGGAGGGAGTCTGATAGATCTAGATTAGACCCAAATGATACTCAAGTGGTACCTTAGGAAGTCTCCAAGCTTCATTTTCCATCTTTATACTAGGGTGTGGAGAAATTAGGGTGTGGAAGGATGGCTCTGTGATTAAAAATGCTTATTGCTCTTCAAGAGGACTTGAGTTTGATTCCCCGCACCCAGAGGCAGCAGCTCACAATAGCCTACAACTCCAATTTCAGGAGATTTGACACCTTCTTTTGGCCACCCTGGGCACCTGCACATATGTGGTACACACACAGACAAGCAAACATGTGCACGTACACACACACACACACACACACACACACAAATGAATATTTTTGAAAAGGAGGGAAAATAATTTTAAAGACTCCATACTCTACAGAAGTATTATGAGAAGTAGAAATAAAAAGTCAGAGTTACCTCCAATGGTACGTCTCTAAACCTGTGAAGACACAGGCCTGCATCACCCCCGAAACAAGAGACCCAGTGACAAAGGTGAAAAATATCCTGAGCCAAGGCTATCCTCCTAAATTCTACCTCAACTTCTTACCTTTCAGCCTTCAGCAAAATCTTCGACCATTTAATCCTTGCCACAAGCCAAGTCAACACCACCACCTGGACAGCTGCATATTCTGAGAGGCCTTTTCAAAACATTCTGCATGTCTTCTACACAGTTCCCTCGGTAGTACCCAGGATAACCTTCCCCTGATATCTCAGGTGGGACAAGTGAAACTCAAAAAACAACTCATTCATGTAAGGTCACACAACTAATGAGCTTAGATATCAGACCCTTGGAAGTCTTTTTCTGAACTTCCTCTCTAATTCACCTAGACTCAACTCAGAACATTCTGTTTAAATTTATTTCATTGAGTTCACTCGGGTAAGCACTTAACAATTATTCACCAGGTACCCACTCTGTGTCAAGCACAGATGTAGAAGAAGTATAGCACAAAATAACCTACTTTAGTCTTGGGCCTCCTTCGTTGCTACCTAAGTGACCCTGGACAAGTTATGCCAATAGCACCTCAGTTATCCTTAAGTGACAAAATGGGCTAAGAGAACAGACTTGATGGTGGCTTAATCCTAGTACTCAGGACACAGGTAGTCAGATCTGGTAGTTCTGGGCCAGCCTGAATGGAACAGTGAGACCCTGTCTCAAAACAAAACAAAACAAAACAAAACAAAGGAGGGGGCACTAACAGTTCTACTTCTCATAGGTCTATTGAAAATTAGTATCTGTAAAGGGCTGCCACTCTGCACCAAAACGGGAGCTTTTATTCTTCTAAGTTCTGGGGAAAACATCATGAATCACACAAGAACTTCAGCCAAGGAAGCAGCTAGAGCTGTCATGGGAAACCCAATCAACACAATTTGTTTCAGACTGAGCTGAGTGCTGTGAAAACCATAAACGTGTGGCAGTGCTGTAGGAAGCTGCTTGAGACTCTGTGGTCAAGGACTCCTGGATGGCATCTGAGCTGTAACACGATGATAGCCAGATTAATGGTAACTGAAGAAACATCAAAAAGATGGGATCTTCTGGGGAACAAGGAGGTCCTGACGCAAAATAAGTGTAGGTATGAAGGTGAGGAACACGCCTGGAAAGGGATGAAGGGGTTGGTGGGCACCAGGGCAGCTTGTAAAAGCAAGTGAGGCGTTCCCTCCTCTTCAACATGGTAGAGACCCACCATTAAGGTTTTGGGTGAAGGGTGGATAAAGTATACTGTAGATAAAACTCCCCGTTTTGGAACCTCACGCAGGCACGTGATCAAGAATGGAAATGGGGGAACACCTTCAAGAAGTGCTACAGCACACGCAACCAGACGCACACGCCAGGCGAGATGGGGTAGAGAGAGGAACGAATCCGGAAACGGGAGAGTAGAGCCATGGCGGTGGAAAACGACTTGAGGCGGCCGGCTTCCCATAGTGCCAGCGGCCTCCCCATCTATCTGGTCCCTGAACGGCGGCTCCCGCTCCCGCCCGCACGCTCCTCTGGCCCGCGCCCTCCCGCCGCGCCTCTCACCCGGATGCCCTGCAGCACCCGGACCCGCTCCTCCTCATCCATCTCGAAGGACACCCTTCGGGCCTCAGCACTCTCGGCGCTGCCCATGACAGCAGGCAGGCAGGGCGTGCGGCCACGCGAGCCGGCTCCACAGCAACCAGGACGACGCCGCTCGACACCCTACACTCTCCACTCGGGACACAGGCCAGCAACACCGCGCTCTATTGGCTGCTGCCACCGGCGCGCGTTGCCTTATGGGAGTTGTAGTCTGGTATTCTGGCGCCATAAGAGGGTGGGGACGTGGTTCTCAGAGGCCAGGGTGCTTGTAGGCTGGAAAATTGGATGGAGGGCATAACAGACACTGAGGTAAGGTCAAGGTTTCTTATAAATATTATCCCGGAAGCAAAGCAAAGGTCGTGTTCTGAAAATAAACTAGCAAGGATGCTGAGGCAACTCCCATTGTCTATGTTCAGGTTGAGAAGTACTTACTCAGCTACCAAGGGCTGAGCAACAACCCTCCCATCTCCCCCCCAACACCCCCCCTCACACACACACACACCAACCCCAACTCCACTCCTACCCTAGAGACCTATCTCCCTAGGCTTCAGTCATGAAGGAAACAAATTCCAAACACAAGTAGTGAATTGACTGTAGAGCATGAGAAATTGCACTGTAATTCAGTCAAACAAATTAATAAATGATGGTAACCTCATAGAGCTTTGAGACCTAAAAGTGAGTGTAGTTCATTATGAGAACACCTGGGGAAAACTATCCTAGGGACCAACTGTTCATTCCAAAGATTTAAGGAGAAAGACACCCCCCCAAACCCAAATCATCATGGCCAAATTAATTACAGCAAGAAATTAATTAAAGCAAACTTTTTATTTGTGTACACAGACTGCTCTCCCCAAGGCGGGGTTCAAGAGGCCAGACTTGGACATAGAGAAGATAAGCATTGTATAGCTCAGGAGTAGGGGGATTCCAAATGGGAAGTTAGGCAGGCAAATAGTTGGGGATAGAAAAGCAGAACATAAGTTGGTCAAAACAACCTCTCATAAAACAAAGATGTGTTTGCAAGGTGGTCCTAACAAGGTAGTCAGTCATAGCAAGGTGATCATAACAACTGGTGGTCATAATAACCTTTTGAAACAAAAGCAAGTTTGCTATTTCCCGACACAGGCAGTAGTTAACCATTCGTAGTTAAGGTTACAAGTGGGGCATTGCCCAATCTTTGACAAACAGATTAAATCATAAAAGGAAATAACCTAGTTTATCTTTATTATAAGATGGCTTTCAAGCCTAAGATAGATGCAGGCTGGTTCATCATTCCCCTCTCATCTGATCTGTCCCTATCAAATCATTAGTAGGGCCTTACATTTTTTTTTATCTAGGGGGAAATAAAATTTTAATGCATCAAAAGATTAACGGCCTCATTATAAATTATACCTGTTTGGTTGGCATAGAAAGAACAAAATTTTTAAGACCTTGTAATCTTGGTATGCCAATAGGTACTATAGGTAGCCACTTTGACCCCTCTGTTGGGGAGTTCCCTTTTTTATTTTTTTAAACTTTGATCTGCATTTATGTTAATCTGATTATATTCTGTGACATAAGTTTTTGTTTCCTCAGTTTCTTCTGAGATATCTTTTTTGTCTGCAGAACCTCCTCTTCTGGCTTTGAAACAATTTGTTCCTTTTCCATGCAGATCATCTTGATGTGACAGGGAATGCATCAGAGGTCTGATAAGGATAGTCATAGCAGGAAGCATAATCCAAATGGCCTTTGTATCAATTAAATGACAGAGACTTACTGCTACCTGGCTGGTTACCCTAGGATTCAATGGCCTTGGTGGCTTTGTTGAGGGCAGAAGTAGTCAGTATTTGGCTGTCATATAGGACAGCATGCATCTTCAGTTGCTGCACAGGAAACTATAAGCCTCTGACTGCTGGACCCAGAAAGTCTTAGAGGTTTCCCTGTGGAGGAAGAACTTGGAAAAACTCAACCAACTATGACAAGGCAGAGCAGGGCAATTAACCACATTTCAGACAGAGCCCTAGGGGCAGGGGCAGTTTTTACCAGTGGATAATGTCACCATATTTCAGGTGGAGTTGTCTGTACCCCATCCTCTCTTTTATTTTTTTTTTGAGACCCTGTGGTCACTGCTAGGAGTTGGAATTTCTATCATAGAGAGCTTTTCCTTTATGCATCTAAAATGTCATATTCTGCAGATCTTGGAAAAGTTTTGAAGGCCATCTATTAAGTATAACTGATTTTAAATAAACTTCACTTGTTTTTAGTTACTTGTTTTAGGTTTAACCTTGAAAACATATCCAGGAGGCTAAATAAAACTTATTGAAATAAAACTTTAAATCATAAATACAGTCCATAGGGATATTGGCAACTTTATTTTCCTGGTCTTTTTATAGTACACCATTGCAGAATATCAGTTTCTTGTATGATTCAGTTTATCAAAATAGCTAAAGCTTAACAAAGTTAGCAAAGACAAGGAGGCTAGACTTACATTCTTAAGTCAATCTCTGCCAAGTCTTTCTTAGGGTGAGATTTTAAGCATAAAAACCATGTTTTGGGTTGACATATTTCAGTTAACAAGAATAGTTAGCCAGAAACTGAACTACAGGGTTTAAAAAGCAAGGTTAGTTCATTTGGAGACTTTCCAGAATTATAGACAGATTAGCTCTCTATTTTTGTTTTGGCTGGTAGTGCTGATTTTGTGCCAGGAGTTTTACAACCTGAATGGTAAAATTACCTACGTATAAAATTTTAATTATTACCCCTGTGTTATAAGTTTTAATTCGACTGCCTTGGTAGGACCACCTTGAAACCATGTCCTTGTTTCACAAGAGGTTGTTGTGAACAACTAGTCATGTTCTGCTTCTATAATCCTGCCTATTTGCCTGCCCAATCCTCCATTTGGAAACCCCCTTCCCCTGAGCTATAAAATCCTTATCTTCCTTATGACTAAGAACCCCACCTGTACACAAATAAAAAGTTTGCTTTAATTAATTGCTTGCTTTAATTTGGCCTTGATGACTTGAGTCAGTGGTCTTTCTCCTCACAGCTTTGGGTCTAACAGTTGGAGGCTCTGTGAGATCAAGACCCCCAGCCCAAATTCAGCAATTCAGAAGCCAGACCCTTCCTCTGGCCCTCTGAGACTGAAGCTATGCTCTGTCAGTGGTACTCACTGGAGATATTCCCAGGCCCCCAAGGCACACCTTTACTTTAGTCAACTGCCTTAGCTGATGGTGGCAACAAAAAAAGAACAACAACAAAAAAAAATAAAAGCAAACAAACCAAGCACCAGTCTATGGAAGCTTCTTTCTTGAAAACCCCCTAGCCTTGCAGCTTTGGGGCTAATATGAACTCTACTTTCTCCTGGATCCAAGGCTGTTCTTTCAAATGCTGCTTGAGAGAGACAATCCTGTCTGACAGAAAATAAATCTTGCTTAATTTGACTAAAAGAATTTGAGTAATGGTCTTTACTCTCATTTGGTGAGATTTAACAAAAACTGACATTGATGGAAGATACTGTAGAAGACATAAATACAGTATTCTATGTTCATTAATTGGAAGAAGGATATTGTTAAAATATTTATACTCCCCCAAATAATCTCTTAGTAACCACTATCAAAATTTCAATGGCGTTTTTCACAGAAAAATATCTTTAAAAAATATTTCATTTTGCTGGGCGTTGGTGGCACATGCCTTGAATCCCAGCACTCCGGAGGCAGAGGCAGGTGGATCTCTGTGATTTCGAGACCAGCCTGGTCTACAGAGCCAGTTCCAGGACAGCCTCCAAAACAATACAGAGAAACCCTGTTTCAAAAAAACAAAAAAATATTTTATGTGTATGTATGTGTGCCTGAGTGTGCCACATGCATAAGGAATCTATGGAGATCAGAAGAGGTGTCTGATCCCCTAGAACCAGAATCATGGGAGGTTATGAACCACTGTGTTGGTGCTGGGAACTGAGCCTGAATCCTCTGCAAGAGTCTCATAACCACTGAGCCATCTTTCCAGTCCCAACTGATACAAACAATACAGAACAGATTCAAACAGCTCCATGCAGTCTGTTGCAATTCACCCAACTGTAAACCGAGGGACCTGCAGGTTGGAGGGACTGCCAAGTCCAGAAGCTTCCTTAGGTCCTTGGTATCAGTATCTACTTCAAGGACCTGATCTAGGGCTGAGCAACCTTGGGAACATAATTATCTCTGCTCTCTCTCCTCCTGCAACTTGATAGAGCTCCCTGTCACGGGACCTCTCTGAATCCACTTCATCAGACTCAAGACATGGTTGGCTATCTTGTTGCAGTTTCTTGCTGGGAATAACCTTGATCTCCTCCAACATGCACTTGGACCAGTCACGGGTAGTACTTCTTCATGATGACCCAGGCCACCTTCTTCACAGACTTGGTGCAAACACAGCTCATGTTGGCAGGTCACCAGATAAAACTATCTTAAGAAAGAAGTTAAAGCTAGAACCATTGCACTCCCTGGTTTCAAGCTATATTGCAAAGCTAATGTAATCAAAACAATACAACACAGACTAAAGCCTAGAAGTGAACTTATGTATAGTAGTCAGCTGATCTTTGGTGCCAACACGCAGTGGGAAAACGAAACTCTTCAATAAATGATGTTGGAGAAACTACTTTTTTTCACATTCAAAATAATGAAATTGGACCCCTTCTTGTTCTGTGCACAAAAATCAACTACAAATAGGTTTAAAACTTAAATGTAAGATCTGAACCTGAAATATCTCAAGTGTAGGGTATGTAAATATAAGTGTAGAAGAAAAGCTCCTTAATGTTGGTCTTAACACTAATCCTTTAGATATGACACCAAAATCACAGTCAACAAAAGCAAAAATAAGCAAGACTACGTTAATGAGAGATGGCTCAGTGGTCAGAGAGCTGCTCTTACGGAGGGTTCAATTCCTAACACCCTCATGATGACTCACAACTGTCTATCTGCATGTCCAGCTTCAGGGGATCTAATGCCCTCTTCTGACTTCTGTGGGAGCAAGCAAAACATTTATACATATAAAATAAAATAATCTAAAAACATTTTAACAACAAAAAATCTTTTTGCAGGCTGGTAGGATGATCCAGTAGGTAAAGATGCAAGTGCTGGAAACCTGAATTTGATTCCTGCGACCTGCATAGTATGAAGAGAACTACTCCAACAAGCTGTCCTATGAATTCTACATGCATGTCATGAATGTGGCACATGCGTGTGTGCACTCACTCACACTCACACACTCACTCACACACTCACACTCACACACACATTCACTCAACTCACTCACACACTCACACACACACTCACACTCACACATTCACTCAACTCACACACTCACACTCACTCACACACTCACACACACTGGTGAATGTAATGTAAGAATTCAAAAGTTTTGCATAGCAAAGGAAGCAACTAAGAAACTGAAAATGCAACCTAAACAATGAAATATTTGCCAGTCATACAGCTTGTAATAAATGCTTAATAATATTCAAGACATTAACTCAAAAACAATAAAAGGTAACCCAATTTTAAAATGTGCAAAGTACTAAAACACTTTTTTCCATATCATGCAAATAGCAACTAAATAAATGAAAAAATGCTCAGCATCACCAGTCACCACAGAAATGCAGATCAAAACCACAATCTATCACCACCATCTGCTACAATGACCACTATCAAAAACGCAAGCCGTAATAGCTATTGGCAAAAACTGGAGGGAAGGGAACCCTTGCCCACAGCTGATGGAAATATAAATTGGTACACTCATTATGAGAAACTGTATAGAAGTTCCTTATACTTTTTAAATATAGTGTGGGGGTACACCCCCCACATAAACATACCTCCCAAGGAAATAAAATCAATGACTCGGGCTGGAGAGATGGCTCAGAGGTTAAGAGCACTGCGTGTTCTTCCAGAGGTCCTGAGTTCAATTCCCAGCAACCATATGGTGGCTCACAACCATCTATAATGAATGAGATCTGATGCCTTCTCCTGGGGTACAAACATGTACTCGGATAAAAAAAACTGCATACATAATAAATAAAAACTGCATACATAATAAATAAATAATTAAAAAAATAAAATAAAATCAATGACTCAAAGAGGTAGGCTGTACCACCATGTTCAGTGCAGCGTTATCCATAATAGCCACAATAAGAGAGCAAGTGTCTATAACTCATAGTGTATTCAGTCTCAGGTGAATAGGAGGTTGTTTATCAAAGGACATAACTTAGTTACAAGATGAAAAAGCTTGGGGATCTAGTGTACAGCTTGAGTTGTGAATGACAGATTGACTAATTTGATTATTATAAGTATTACACACCATGTCACTATATAAGATATAACCCTGTAACCTTGAATACATAGTATCTTTGTTAATTAAATATATGTATTTTTTGTTTAGTTATTGTTGTTCGAGACAGGGTCTTGCTATGCAGCCCTGACTGACTTAGAACTTACTGTGTAAATGTGCTGGGTCTCAAACTGGCCTTCTGAGTGCTGGGATTAAAGCTATGTGATCTGATGCCCACTACTTGCCTCCTCAAGCACTTCACACACAGTGCATAGACATGTGAACAGGCAAAGCAACCATACACATAAAAATGCTTTAAAATGCTGCCATATGATTAAAATTTGATTATAACTACACACAGTGGTAACCAGGGGATGGATTAACCACCTTGATTGTGGTAGTGCTGTATACCTTAAATATATCTAATTTTGTCATTTATACCTTAATGAACTGGAGTGGGGGTGCTATGATCAAACTTGAGCACAATTCTAATGAAATTTGTACTCCAGAGCTCCTGTAGGACCAGGTTAAGAAAGTTACCAGCTTTAGCCGGGCCATGGTGGCACACGCCTTTAATCCCAGCACTCGGAAGGCAGAGGAAGGCGGATCTCTGTGAGTTCAAGGCCGGGCTGGACCAACAGCCTCCAAAACTCCGAAACAATACAGAGAAACTCTGTCTCGTAAAACCAAAAAAAAAAAAAAAAAAAAAAAAGAAAGAAAAAGAAAAAGAAAGTTACCAGCTTTGACCATGTCATGTCAGTCAGCTAGTCATTGGCAGCTGAGGATAGTTCTCTAGAGAAATCTTTCCTCCCCAACTTGCTTTTTGGTGATGGTATTCTGTCACCCCAATAGAGACACTAAGACAATGCACATTCACGCAGATCATGTAGAAGGGGCTCACGTACCACTGTGCACAGGACAACTCTTGTGTGTTAGTTGTCTCCTTCCACCATGGGTTCTAGGAATCAAATTCAGATTGTCAGCCAAGCATTTTAACCATTCGAGTAATCTCATAAGCTCCATTATTCCATTTTAATGAAGGAAAAGGAGACATAAAATTGGAAAAAGGGCACAAACTTGACCTTTTAAAAATTAAATGTATTAGTGTGGATGGGCATGCATATGCCACATCAGGTATAGAAGTCAGGGGACAACTTGTGCTCTGCTGTGTGGGTCCCAGGGACTGATGTCAGTCAGGTTACGATGCTTGGCAAAATGCCTTTGCCTGCTGAACCATCTCAGTGACCCAAAATCTCTTCTTTAAAAATAAAAAATACCAGCTAGGAAAATGCCAAAGAAAATTAAGATTTTTTAAAAAAACTGCCATTTTGCCATCCTCAGTAAAATTGAATGAAGCTAGCTCAAATCATCAAAATATATACAAGACACTAGATGGAAGGTTAAGAAGCAAGCCTACCTGCTAGCTTTGACTTATTTCTTACTATTTACCAGTAAGAGCTGTATTATAGTGAGGAGGCCTGCTGGTCACTACCGTTACCTAATGAGGAAGCTTCAAAGACACTGGGAGAAGCAGTGTGACTCCCAGCCCCTCAGCAAACTGCTGTGGTATAGTGCAGTCAGTGTGTGACTTGAATGTACTGGAGTGGAAATAAGTCCTAAAATAAACAAACAAAAATAAAAACTAGCAAAAACAGCACCAATTTGTTTTTAATTATGTGTGTGTGTTTATGTCTGTGTGAATTTGTGCCTGTAAGTGCAGTGCTCTTAGAGGCCAGAAGAGGGCATTGCATCTGCCTAAAGTGGGTGACGAGAATGAACTCTGGCAGAGCAGTCAGTGCTCTTGACTACTAAACTGTCTTTCCAGGCCCTTGGGAAGTGTATATACAATATAATATCATAGAGTTTCTGTTATTATTGCAACTGGGATTAACACAAGGGCCTCACACACACTGAGTGTGCATTCTATCACTGAATGATGCCCCTGGCCTTCTACTTGAATTAATATTATTCAGTAATTATTATTGAATCAACATCAATTTTCTTTCTTAAAAGCTTTACTTAATTTTACGTGTATGATTGCTTGCTGGCATGTTTATATGTGTGTAGCATGTGTGCACAGTGCTGGTAGAGGCCAGAAGAGAACATCAGATGCCCTGGATCTTGAGTTACAGAAGTTGTGAGTCATCAC